ATGCTCAAGTCTTCCATCATTATTATTTCTTTGAACTTTAGGACAACATTAAATACCTCATTAAAGAACAAACTCTGTTTCAAATGAGGGTTAAAACTATGAAAAGTGTATCTTTTCATTGTCCTAGACCTTAGATTGCCCTCAATATAATGATCAGATCCTAACATTTAATATAATCCTGTTTAATAGAAAATTAGTATCAAAGCATTGTTCAGACTCAAGTAATCTTGCTGAAATAATATGCAGTTATCCAGTTTTAACACTGGAACATATCAAGGATAATATTCTTGTAATGAATTCAAAGAAGATTCTGATTTTTGATATTTATTACAAGGCAAATATTAATACCAATGTTAGTAGATGAAATGCCTTAGGATAGAATAACATGTAATACAGATTGAAAACCTAGAACAAGAATCTGGTCTAGGAAATCTGAAGAGACCAAAAATATCAGCAAAAACTACTGATATCAAATGATCCCTGACTATTGTTGGAAAACACTTTGGAGTTCCATTTAACTTTTGAAGAGGACAAGCTAAACTTCTGTTTAAGTAGATAGACTGGGCCCATTTAGATGGAACATTTGAAGAATTGTCTTTATGTGCAATTGTCTTTATGCAATCCTTATACTGAATACTAGAGACCTTGATAGTGTATATCTATTATAAGATCCAGGAAAAAAATGAAAGTAGATGCCCTAATATGACAAATGTGGGAATTCTCCCAGAGATGTTCCTAGCATTCTGTATTGTCCAGGTGGGCCTTCTCTCTTTTTTTTTTCCAATGCAACATTATTCTACATTTGATGTCATTGGATTACTGATGCAATTTTGTTCATTCACTTTCGGAATATGGTATCTTTACTGTATCACTGATCTAATACTAGATGTCACAGATCCTTCTTCAATGGACTGCAGTAGAATTCAATTGTGCTAGTTGTGAGGAAACAAACATTACGTAGAATCAAGTATTTGAGATGGGCAGCGATATATGCATTTTCCCTTGCACCGCAAAAATCCTTAATGCAGTAATACAAGACTTACAACAAATTGTATTGATACATTTTTATTCCACATAACCAACCAGTTCTTGTTGGTTCCTTCATTCTTTTGATTAGTCATCAATATACTGCAAATAACCCACTTTCATATTGGTTCCATGCTTCTTATTTGTTGTTAACTCATTCTATAGTAAATACCCTTTCTTACAATTAGCACTCAGTGGGTTATTCTACCAGTTATGTACTTTTACAACCAAAGGCAAAACATCAATACCACAAGCTCCTTTGTGGCTCTTTATAGTCACACATTTATTTCAACCGCTTACATAAAATAGTGCAAATAATGCCAGCACTTCCCAAATCAAGACATTAACTTCCAAACTTAAATAAAGCTTCATTTCTTCACTATTTCTTCTTTCATTATGAAGATAGAATTGCTCTCAAATATGGTACACAAAATGGGGATAAAACCCACTGTGTTAGTTTAAGAAAATGACATTAAATGTGACATTCTTTGTGTGATTCTTTGGATACTGTGAAAGATTTATGTTTGCTGATTTGAGAAGAGATGAGTTGCATAATTCACCATGCCTCTACACAAGCACCTTTCCCTGGGCCAAGAGTGTCACTTGGCCTTTGAAGAAATATGTGGAATTACAACAAATCAATGTCAGTTTCATTAAATTAACTTCAGTTAATATGATTCTATCTCATTTTACTAGCATTGTGTTTTCCCATCATATTAAACACTACAATCTAGCAACAATTTACAGAGGTTTGGGGAAGTGTACCCAAGGCTTGGAGTGGGAAGGGAGATACATGTAGTCCTGGAGTCTCAGGTCATACAATCCTGCTTTGTATTTAATGATTAGGAAAGCTGAATAGGAAATCTACCAGTTGCCTCTGTACTAATAGAAAGGATTTATTTTTGACATCTTTATTGTATTTTCCTTCAAGCCATTATCTAAGCAGAAAGCAATTTTTAGCCAGGGGAGGAAAGAGAGAGGGAGACCAAGCTTTGGTAGATAAATAAGTAGGTAATTTTTTATTACAATTTTTGACTGACATGTAAACTGACTCTCTTTTCTGCCTGATTGTTACATTGAACTTTTATCTCTATTTTTGTCAATGAGACTCTAATATAGGCCACTGTGGGAAGTTCATACATGAGGGTGAGGAGTGGAGGCATGGCATTTTTCCCGTCCCCTGCCTATACTTGATATGCACTTGCCAGAATGTGTTGAAATCAAGTATTTTTATATGATAGAATGCTACAGATGATGCCATCTATAAAACCATGATAGGAAAATAACATTAAAGACATTTGGCTGTCTCCAATGTTGGTAATAGGCATAAAAAATGGTTTGGCCTCCATGGATCTTTTCATCTTAGAACGTTACTAAACCTGCTGTCTGAGAATTCCCAGCATTCCTAGCCAAGATCAGGAGCCTTGGTGGCGCAGTGGACTAAAGTGCTGTTAAGTAGCACTTAGATGCCAGCTGCCTGCAATTACTGCAAGTTCAAATTTCACCAGACTCAAGGTTGACTCAGCGTTCCATCCTTCCGAGGTAGGTAAAATGAGAACCCGGATTGTGGGGGCAATAAACTGACTTTGTATAAAAAGAACACCACTTAGGGGGCCCCGAAAGCCCTACTAAGCAGGTATATACAAAAAGTATGAAGGCTATTGCTTGATGCATTGTAAACTGCCCTGAGTCTCCGGAGAAGGGCGGCATATAAATCAAACCAATAAATAAATAAGATGGCCTTCTCTAGGAAGGATGACAAATGCCATTCATTCTGTATGACAGTTTGGAGGGCTTTCCAGGGGCATTACAGGATGCAAAACTATTGGGAAATCTCATCCATTTTCCCAGGACTGCACACTAATTCCAAACTTAGCAGCAACCCTCTTGTAGAGGGAACCTTGTAAAAAAAACAAAACAAAAAAAAAAAACAGGGAAGTTGTTGAAATCCCCAAACAGGCCTTTCTTCTCCAGCCTTTAACAACAATAATACAAAAGGCTATTTTTATACAAAGTAGTCTACAAACCCAATGATGTGTAGCATATTAAGAGAAGTACCATACATTCCAATCAACAGTTCCTGGTGAAAAATATGGCAATTTCATTATTTATATTCTGAGGTACATTTTTTAGATCAGGGGCTTCATGCTTCTTGGGAGGATGGGGGTAGAATAACTACATTTAGAGTTGTACTTTCTTACATTTTCCACCATAGCTATCAATTGTGAAAATTTATAATATGTTTTGAGTTTATGTCTCCCTCTCTTTCTTTCTCTCTCTAACATATTCATAATTTCCATCACATTAAACTTTCAAAAATCTTGCACCAATATAATTTCCTTTTGATGATGTTGGACGATTAGATTTGCCTGCCAGCAATTTTAGTTTTCTTCATATTTTATTTTACTATGAGATTCTAGTTCTTCCACATTTTTTATTATTTATTTATTTATTAAAGTTATATGGCTGCTATCTTGCAAAACATAGCTCTGGGTGCATTCCCTATTTATTTTTCATTCTCATAATCCTGCTTTTGTGACATCAGAAGAGCAACTCATTGTGACATCACAATGAAGAGATTACTGTGATTGATGGGATGAGGCAGAGACTTGGGAGACAAAGGGAGAGGAAAATAGTTTCTCATAACATTCTTTTTCTGCTTTTACTTTCCTTAAAGACATTCCTAAAGCAATGAAAATATTCCTTCTTTAACTAAACTGAAGGCAATATTACAAGATTTCTTTTAGTGATAAATGCCAAAAGTAGCCCTACTATTAGTTGGAATGAGGAAGTTGTCTAAGGTGATAATGGCTAAAAAGGCAGCAAGCCACTGAAGAAGATAGATGGATACCCCAGTAGCTTTATTTATGCCCTCTAAGGAAAAGTCTGCTGCTCTAAAAGAAAATCCTGAATAGTTTTCAGGGCACTTTGCAGCTTTTGCACACGGTTTGAAAACGATTTCCCTTTTCATCTCATACAAAATAATTTTGGACTAACCATTCTAGTTTGAATCTTCAAACAATTCAATCAACTGTATCTCTATTACAAAGTAAACTCAATTAATGTGATGGGATTCTGTCCAAAGGGTAACCAAGGTCTAAATTTTCTCATTTGATCACTCATTTTGATGAGATCTGCAAAAGACCATTTGTTAAGTATGTGAAAGATCTCTGGATCGAATCACGCCATTCATAAGCACAGAAATAAAAATGCTGATTATAATTTAGAGGAAAGTGTCTTTGTGGATCATTCCCAAACGGCCTTCAAGAGAAACCTTTTCAGAATCCTTAACAGTATTAAAACATCCTTGGTTAGTTGGCTTGTTCAAGATAACATTCTTACTTTTAAAATAAAACTGAGTATCTAAATGTTGCATTTTTTTTTTATTTTTAGGAACTAAAACTTTTGTATTGCGTTATTGTAGCATCGGATTGTCAACCAATTCCCGGGTTTGTAATAAAGAATGGTATATAAATTTTCGGATTAAGATGACTGCGGTAATTGACTTTCAGGTCAGTTTTGATTCATCGCTCAGTTTAATGCCAGGGAAAAGTAGCACCTGTTGAAGAATTGTTTGAAAGCTCTTGAGGGGCACAACCCGAGAAGATAATACTGTAGAACCTGGATCCCGGGGTGGGTCTTCCTTTAATTAGAAAGCAAAATAGATTTCGCGACTGAAGAACAGGCGGTCCTTCCTTTCTCTTGGATCGAGAGCGGAGGGGGCGAAGAGAGATCTGACCGCCAGTTCTGAAATCAATGGATATCACTGCTCTTGAACGTGAAGATCGGTAACTGCGCTTCCCCATTGGTAGGCTTTGCTTATGTAAAAGAGGAAGTGGAGAAGTCCCCCAAAACATCGCAGCCACAGCAGCAGCAGCCGCAGCAGCAGCAGGCAGCAGCGCGCGCACACTCAAAATTTCTACGGGCGGGCGCTTGCAACTTCGGAGCCTCCAGAACTGCTGTCTTTGCGGCGTGCCTGTGTTTGCCGCTGCCGCCGCCGCCGCCGCCGCGATTGCTCTCCCTTCTCCAGTGCGCGCTTGGAGCAGCTAGAGAAGTGAGTGGAGGCGGCGCTGTGCATGCTGGGCTCAGATCATGGTGGGGCTTGGCAATAGGAAGCCAGGCAGGAAGGACTCGAACTAGCGTGCGGCGGCGGCGGCGAGCGAGCGAGCGAGCCAGCGCTAAGGCGGAGGGTTTGCGGATCGTGTGAGCCGATCGCCTGGCTAGATCGGAGCTGGGAGTGAAAGGGGAAGCAAAGTCCCGTAGGCAGAGGCGGGACGGAGCTGCGAGGGAGGCGGAACCGGGGGAGGGGGTCATTTGGAACCGCGCTGTACGGCCCCCACCCCCTCCCCGGTCTTCGCCTCCCCGATCTGACTGAAGGAGGAGGAGGAGAAGAAGAAGGGAAAAAGAAAGAGGAGAGGGGCAGGGAATCCCCGCTTCTTGCAATGGGAGGCGCCGGTTTGGTCGTCGGTACTGGTGCGTGAAGCAAAGCCGAGACAAGAGGAGCGTATTTCGGCGCCGCCAACACCTCCAGGAACAGCCGCCGCCGCCGCCTCCCCATTGCCGGGAGATGGTGGCATATGAAGCGCGCTGGAAGGACCATGGTTGAAAGGAACAGCAAGTTCCTGCTGATCGTGGCGGGGTCGGTGTGTTTCATGCTCATCCTGTACCAGTATGTGGGGCCGGGGCTGAGTCTGGGCTCGCCGAGCGGCCGCTCGTACCAGGATGAGCTGGACCTCTTCCCCACTCCGGACCCGCACTACGTCAAGAAGTACTACTTCCCCGTGCGGGAGTTGGAGCGCCAGCTGGCCTTCGACATGAAGGGGGACGACGTGATCGTCTTCCTGCACATCCAGAAGACTGGCGGCACCACCTTCGGCCGCCACCTGGTGCAAAACGTGCGCCTCGAGGTCCCCTGCGACTGCCGGCCCGGGCAGAAGAAATGCACCTGCTACCGGCCCAACCGCCGGGAGACCTGGCTCTTCTCGCGCTTCTCCACGGGCTGGAGCTGCGGGCTGCACGCCGACTGGACCGAGCTCACCAACTGCGTGCCCGGCGTTTTGGACAAGCGGGAGAGCGCCGCGGTCAAACCTCCCAGGTGAGACGGGAGCGGGAGGCTCCTTCGCGCAGTGATCTCTCTCTCTCTCTTTTTTTTTTTTTTTCTTCTCCACCTTCCTCTTCCCATGTCTTATTTATAGTTTCTCCTCGCCGTCGGACCTCTATGTTTCCTCACTGCAACCTTGTTAGGTAGGCTGGAGGGAGCAGTAAAGCCCAAGGTCAGCCAGTGAGCTTCAGGCTTCTTTCTCTAAGCTTAGGTGTTGTGTATGTATACCTGGAGTTCTCTTTGCTAACATGACGCTTTGATCACTACCTGTACTTCACAAGTCAGGCAATGCCAGGAGCTTATTGTTGAATCTCTCCAAGCTTGGCAGTTTCCATAGCTGACTGATGCCAACTACTTTGCTCAGCAGGCTGATGGCTGAGGAAAAGATACAGTTCTCCATGGCCCAGCTGGCTCCTGACTCTTCAGCCAAAGCCTTAACCTTGCAATTTGATTCACATTTACTGCACTGTTGTGACTCACTCTCACTGCTGGCTGCTTTTGTCATCAAACTCAGAATAAATGGTTGAACTGTTTTGCTACTTATCTAGCTCCCCATTCCATTCCATTCATTCGTTCGTTCATTCATTCACTCACTCACTCTCTCCCTCCCTCCTTCTCTCCTCTGTCCTCTGTTCTCAGCATGCAACATAGTCCTGAGACTTGGTGTTCAATGCAGTTGGTGCCTGTTTCCTCTGTTCTTGCCCATTTGTGTGTGTGCGTGTAACACAAATTAGGCAGGCCCCTCATTCCTCTTCATGTGTTTGTGGAAGAAAAGAAAGAGAGGGAGGGAGGGAGAGAGAGAGAGAGAGGGAGAGAGAGAGAGAGAGAGAGGTTGCACCTATGGAATTTTCTGTGTCTCATGCAGCTGCTAAGCCTTTGAAAGGAATGAAGGCAGAAAGAATTGTATCAATCCCATATATGTGGCCTGCCTGTCTCTATATTGTGCTCATTGACCCCATAGTCGTCTTTCTTTTCCACTGCCTTCTGCTGGAGCTCTCCTTTCCTGCTTTATACACTCTGGAACTGGCTTTCCTCATATACTTTGTAGGATTTCCCTGAGATTTTAATTCATTTTCATTCAGAGCTTTAGTGTGTACCTCGTCAATCTTACTGTAGCAGCGGAGAGGGCTCCTGAGAATGTGTGGAATGTATGTCCATTGCAGTCAGTCTCCATTCACCCAGAATAAGGGGCAGAAGTTCAGGGTCCCATTTAAGAGCTTTCAGAGAAATGGATGTCTGGAGGTTTTTTTACTTTAGATGTCTACCTCATTTCACACATTTTAACAAATTCCCTTCATTTGATTTGGGGTTTCAGGCATATGTAAATGAATCTTATTTTTCTAAACCTGGGTCTTTGTCAACAATAAATCTTTCCATTGTTAACCATTGGCAGTGTTAACACTTCTCATTCTCAGAGCTATCTTTATTTTTCTGCATTATAGTGCATATGGAAGAAACACTAAGAATGGTCTCTTGCCAGATTCCTTTATATCTTTTATAGACTTTTGTTTTACTTTTTTTTTTTTTTGTAATATTGGCTGTTGTCTTTGTACATGTTTACTGATTGTAATAGCCCTTTTCTATTATTATCCACTCCTGTCGACTTAATGAATGCCATGCCTAATTTAGAATTCTTGTTTATACATAGTTATTTTATATCTGTGCTTTTTAGTCAAGTAACTTTTCTCTTAGGTTATCCTGTTGATTGTTTGTACATGCCTGCTGGATTTTCCCCATGTCTCTATCCCCCACCCCATTTTCCTTTTAGATGGCATTAATCTTCTTAAGCATCCTTTATTCCTAGAGACATATATCTTTTTCTCGTGCCCACATTAATTCCTAAAACACTTTTCATCTTCTCATTATGGTTTTCTTTTACCATGTTTGCCAAGGTTTTCGAGTATAGATTTTAAAAATCCAGCTAAAGTCAATCTTTTGAAAGCATTCCACCCTGATGTATTCTAGTCATCCACAATTCATGCACAAATTGCTTCCATCTACGGTCACCTAACTTAAAGGATGTATGTATGTAAGTATGTATGTACCTATGTATGTATGTATGTATGTATGTATGCATGTATGTAGTATCTTTTGGCCTGCCTTGTGAGGTAGTTCAATTTTTCTCTTCCATGCTGGGTTTTATTCTTTAAATCATCTGAAGTGTTTTTATTTCCTTATTTTCCTTCCTATCTTAGAGTCATGTTTAAAGATTGATTGTTTTCTTGCCATTCTACTGTAAGTCATTAATTCCTGCTACTTTTTAGAGCCTTGATCTCAAACACAGCTCCTCTAGTGCCATATGGTTTTCTGTTCATGTCTGTTGTCCATATATATTGGTCATATCCTCTGTAATCCTTCCAGTGAGTAGGTAGTCTTGGGAGGCCAGAACAAAGCATATTTGTCTTATCTCTGCTGCACAGCTCTTTTATTACCCACCCCCTTTCCCCATTTGTTAGACTTGTTCAGCATGGGATGCTGCGTGGAGTTATTAATTATATGTATTGATTCTTCTGTTGTTGCTATCTTTTCAATGCACCTTGGTCAAATTTTGATTAATTGTTCTAATTGCCCTATAATCTACTTTTATGTAAACTGACTCAGGAATATCATATCAAGAAACTTATCCAAAAGGGTTCCCTTTCTGCAAAGACAAATATATGTGAATACTGGCATACAATGGTCCTCTCCCCTCCCTCCTCTGTATACATTGCTACTTGATGATTGTAAATGAATAATTGTTTCATGTTCTTGGAACTTTTACATTAACCTTCTCCCCCCCTCTCAAAAAACTCCTAAACAAACAACTTTAGTTTGCAAATCATCAGTAGAGAAAGTAGATTTATGGGCAGATATAGTTGCATACTTTCCTTATTTAAATTTATACTTAAATCCTGTTCTTACATGGCTTTCCTTTCTTGGAACAATGCAATGCTTGGATAGCAAAAAGCCAAGTTGCAGGTTTTGCTGTGGGTTTGGTGATCATAGTGCCCACAAATTGTTTGCTTTGCCTGTGTAGACTTAAGGACTTTGGAGCTATATTGTATCTACAATGAAGTTTACAATATAATTGGTTAAATATCTTGTTTGTATAACGACTTTCCGTTTTTCTTTTCTCTGGGATCCAATGCTATTTCCTAAAATAATTTTCTAGGGGTTTAATAATAATAAGTAAGCATGCATAAGATTTCAGTCCTAAATTAAAGTATTACCAGATTTAGGATTTCCCATGTACACGTTCAGATACTGAGTTTGGCTTATCCTTGAACCTTTCTCATGATGTCCTACTTTGATTGAAAAAAGTACTGTATTGAAGCATCAATGGCATTATGGAGGAGCAATCTTATTGCTTCAAGCCATCCTCAATGAATAAGCATCCTCCTTGCCATTCATTAACTCTGAACTGGATAGTGTTTTGTATATTAAGAATAAACAAGAATTGTTGACTGACTTGTAATATTGCTGTGTCACATAGGCCTATTGTATGGTAGTTCATTTTATCTTGTCCATAAAAAGATAACATTTCTCCTGCCTGTAATGAAACCTGGCTTCATAAGCAAGAGCTGTTTATGTAAAACCACTGATGAAGTAGATTTCCTTTGTAAGGGATTCATTCTTGAATTATTTCCACTACAGTGGTGGCTATATCACTTCATTTTGCCGCTTTGAATAATGTATCTAGGGTAATGGAACAACCTATGTTTTCATGTCTGGCACACATTATAGAGCCTGCTGGGAGCAGGAAAATTCATTGGGTGATAATCTTTTATTGAAACAGCTTCTGCCATTGAAGTATGTGCAGTATTTTGGGATTCCTGGAGCTTTCATCTGGTCAACAGAATTCTGTTGCTGTTGACAATTTTATTTCAAAGAACAGCAGAAATATTGGTCCTGATGCATTTCACTTAAATAACTCTTTGCTTGCAGTCTGTAAGCAAACGTATTGGAAAGAAAGGATAGTATGTGGGTGGTTTAGTAGGACAGGATCCCATATATGACTGCTTAAAGGGACATCAATACTTGAATCTCCTCAAATACAGCTGCTGGTGCTACCTTTTTGAATTGAGATATCAGTCTCTTTTGTTTCTTAATTTGCTATTCAGTAATGTGGAAAAGCTGTATTTCTGGAAAGAAAGGACTCGTGTTTCTTTAATGCATCTTCTGAGTGTCTTACAGGTATTCTTGAAGGTCATTCACTAGTGCTCATAAATGCACACAAATCATCAGCTAAAAGATTATTAACCCTGGAAGTAATACCATTTTAGCATTGCTAAGTGCATCCTTATTCTACATTCTGTGAGCTTCTGTGCACTTTCTGCATCCAGAATGCAACGGCTTTCCTACTTCAGGTTGGTCTTGATAATAACAGTACCTTTTTTATAGAGACACATTCATTCTCCTCTTTGTTGGTGCCTGCTATAGTGGTATCACACTAACCTAATTGTTTATTTTTAAGTGTTGTTTTGTTTTGGAGAGGAGGAATATTGTTAGACAATTGCAGTTGTTACAGTATGCTAAGAATTATCATTTCTTTACTCTGCAGATTTTTTTTTTTAAGAATAACACTGACTTGCTGGAGTGAGATTATTTAAAGCACATTTGGTGGTGTTGGAGTCTCACAAAGTAGCTGCAGTAATGAGCATGACAAGTCACAGAATTCTCATTTACTAGAAATGCAAACTAACCCCCGCCTCCCATATTGCCTATCGTTGCAGATTGGTATGTGTGTGGGAAGGGTCACTTGCGTTTTTTTCTGACTGCAGAGCGTAGAGCATGCTGGGCTGGAACCATCCATCATGTTGAATTTTTGTGGGCCCAATATGGGGTCCAGAGACATTCTTCTAAATAATGAAGATGCTGAATTCTGGTACTCTGCTTTAAGAATGCTGATATCCTACCTTTGTTTTGCATTAAAATGATCTTAATAAAATTAGCATCAAGGCGCATTCCATCAGCACATTGATCCCTATTTGATATGGAGTATAGGTATGGAAGTT